ATCTGTAACGCTGCCGAAATCTCCGCATGCCACACCCACAACCTCAGAAAGCCAAAACTCGCAAATCAAATATCTCTAATGCTCGAAGCACGTCAGGTCCGCCAAGCTTTGAGCTGAGCAATCGCCAATGCCTTTACACCAATCGCTCGTCTATTTCAGTACTCCGAATTCGGGCATCAATCGTGTTGCTCAAGGACTGTGGCGCAGAGTTTCAACGGGTCAGCAACGTTTGCGGGAGGGCTCTGCGCACATTTCCAGCCTCCCTTCGGTCGCCAGCATACTATGGTTACTATAAGTGATAACTTTGAATTGGGTGTTCGGGGAAAACTATACAATCATCGTGGTGCAAGGAACCCCGAAGCGTGTTCCACATTCTTAAAGCCCTTATGTTCACCCTAAACCCTAAACCCTAAACCCTAAACCCCTACGCCTAAACCCTAAAACCTTAAGAACCCTAACCCTCTGTGAAACCGAAAAACTTTTCGCTGAGCACCCTGCAGTCCGGGCTAAGGGAGTAATTAGTTTTTGGGATGGCTCGTTTAGGATTGAGGTTTAGGGTTCAGGATGGTGTAGTGTTCAAGAACCGGTGGTGTCTGTGCTCGTTAGTTCAGGACCAGGTGCTTCGAAGTCTAAGCCGCTCCACGAGCGCTCACCACTTTGATGTTGGATTATTCACAAGCAGAGTCCAAGGTTCTGCAACTGCACACACACACACACAGGCAGGACTTCAGCAGGAGCAAGAAGCAAAGCACTTGGGGAGAACGACGAGGTGCGCATCGCAATTTGGCATGGTAGCACGAAAGATCTCTACACCCCTCCCCACTCCGCTCAGGGTTGCCTTTGCAGAAGTCACTCGTGCCCTCGGCACAAGTGGGCTCGACATAGTACGAGGAACCTGGCAGGGTCTACGGACTCTCACAACACGGAGCCCCGAAACAGTAGGCTTTTGAAATTTTGGGGGTCTAGAGTTTCGAGTTGCCTCCTTCGATGTGGCGAGTTTCCACTTCCCCGGATGTGCTAAGCCCTATAAGCCCTAAACCCTAAACGCCCAAAAACCCTAAACACCGGACCAAGCCTCTAAACCCCTGAACCCCCAAAGCCCCAAACCCTAAAACCCTATATAAACCGATCCGAAGGTTTAGGGTTTAGGGGCTTGGGGTTTTAGGTTTTGGGGCTTAGGGTTTGAAAGTTTAGGTGGGCAGATCCTGGAATGCTAAGATCCTTGATTTTCGGACCCCTGAAAATCGGTACCGTCCGAAAAAAAAACACAAGTCCATATCATCAAAAGCTTGCTGCAAAAACCCGCATATAAAACCCCGAAATGAACTGCGGACCAAACCCTAAACCCGAACCCTGAGCCCTCGGCCCTAAACCCGAACCACAAGTCAACTGGAAAGGTTAGACTGTTCAGGAGGAGTCGGGCTGCAGCAAGCCGAGCTGGCTTCCTCGTATGGGGCGCGGGTTTAGGGTGTGGCCTTTAGGATTTAGGGATTAGAGACATGGAGTTTACGGATTTATGGTTGTAGGGTTTAAGGACTTAGGACCTTAGCGTTTGAAACACGTTTGCCTACTCACCCAGAAGCAAAACAGCCTAAAGGCTAAAGGTACGTTGAAACCCCAAAGCCTAGACCCGCAACACCCTGAGCCCTAAATGCCGAAGCCCCAACCCACAGCCCCTAAATCTCAAACCCTCAAACTCTAAACCCCTGAACCCGAAACCCTAAAATTCTAAACCCCTCAAACCCTAAACCCCAAAACTCCAAAAGTCTAAGCCCCTTAACCGCCAAAACCCTAAAACTCCAAAGCCCTAAAACTCTAAACCCCTCAAGCCCCCGGAGTCCAAGCCCCCAGACCTGAAGCCCAGACTTCAGGGTGTAGGGTTTAGGGTTTAGGGGGTTGAGGGTTAGGGTCTAGGGTTTAGAGGTTTAGGGTTTAGGGTTTAGGGTTTAGGGTTTAGGGTTTAGGGTTTAGGGTTTAGGGTTTAGGGTTTAGGGTTTAATGTTCAGGGTTCAGGGGGTTTAGGGTTCAGGGGGTTCAGGGAGTTTAGGGTTTAGGGTTCAAGGGGTTCAGGGTTTAGGGTTTAGGATTTAGGGTTTAGGATCTAGGGTTCTTTTGGTCCCGCCTGTCACGCAACACTTGCCGCCACCAAGGTATGCCAGCCTGTCACCCTTGCAGAAGCTCGAGTCCGCACCTCAGAAACAGCTTCGACCGGCTTCTACCCTAAACCGAAAAACCCTATAAACCCTATAAACCCTATAAACCCTATAAACCCTATAAACCCTATAAACCCTATAGCCCCTATAAACCTTATAAACCCTATTATAACCCTATGAACCTTATAAACCCTATAAACCCTATAAACCCTATAAACCCTATAAACCTTATAAACCCTAAACCCTACACCCGAAACCCCAAACCTGAAACCCGAAACCCGAAACCCTAAGCCCTCTGGGCGGGAAGGCAGAGGGTTTGACTGGGTTCTTGTTAAGTAATTTAATTTAAGTTACCATAATAGGGATCTATAGTAAATAGTACGGTTTCTTTATTATGGTAACTTAAATTAAATCCCTTAACAAGAACCCAGTTGATGGCGGATTCTGGGCTTAAGGTTCGCATCCTCAGGGCTTCAGAGTTCGTGCGCAAGACTTTAGGGTTTAGGCTTCAGGGTCTGGGTTTTGGAGTTTGGGGTTTGGGGTTTGGGGTTTAGGGTTTAGGGTTTAGGGTTTAGGCTTCAGGGTTTGGGTTTTGGGGTTTGGGGTTTGGGGTTTAGGGTTTAGGGTTTAGGGTTTAAAATACGGGTTTTGGCCAAGTAAGGCTTCCAAGTGTCGGGGTTCTGGCCCTATGCCGCACAAGCGCATGTGTCCATACATCCCCCTGCAAATAGGGTTCTAGAGTTTATATATGGTCTATTATGGTCTTACATTTTGCAGTTGACGGCTTAGGGCTTAGAGTTTAAATCTACCATGACTGCAAAAGTTACAAACCTTGTGCTCACGGCAATGTCATGGTGTTGACACGCGTGGAACGGCTAGACTTTGAACGCGAGGGAAATTCAGAACATACAAGATCCCAGTAAAGACTCTATGCGGTGGGATCCCGTCTGTAGGCACCCGAAAACCTACACATTGACACCGACACCAGAAAAACCCTAAAAGCCGGTCCCGTCCGAGCGCCGTCCACGCAGGTGGTCCATTCGGTTGTACAGCACTTGCCACTACCGAGATACCTTTGACAGCGGTGTGGGAACCCCAAGCCCTACGCCCGGATTTAGGGTGCCTGACTCGCGAGTTGGGGCCCGCCCTCCTGTCCCAAGTTTCATGCTTGAGGTTCAGGGTTTAGTAAGGGTTTCGGGCTTTGCTGCCACGATACTAACGGAAGTATGGCTTACTTGAGCATGTATCGCTACTAGACGGCTGCTGCCACACACCTCAACACCGGGCTGTAAAAAACGCTAAATTGCAAACCCCAGGCTCTAGACCTTCACATCAAGGAAACTACATGTGGGGCGTTTAGGATATATAGGGCTTCTAGAAGGCTTCTATAAGGTATATAAGACCTTCTATACGGCTCCTATAACGGTAACTTACCACCCTGAAAATGTCCTAGATTCATCTCTGAACAGTAAGAAACTAGTGTCCGAAACTGCAGGGATTCATCTCCGAGCCCCAACACTAGCACACTGCTCGGTGATTTTTTAGAGACCGCCACGTAACACCCAAAACCCTGAAACAACGAAAGCCTGAAGGGGTTGGGGGTTTAGGGTTTAGAGTTTAGGGCTTAGGGTTTAGGGCTTAGGGTTTAGGGCTTAGGCTTTCGGGTTTAAAGTTCAGGTTTGGAGTTCACGGTCTGCGACTTGAGTTTTGGACGTTAGGTTTAGGGCTCCAATTAAGACTTCAGGTTTGAGATCACGGCCCATGAGTTGCTTGTGGTTTGGAGCTCGTGGTCTAGGATTTTATGCTTGGAAGCTGAGGGCTTGGGAATGGAAGCTTGGAGGTCAGGTAGGGCTTAGGGTTTAGGGTCTAGGGTTGAGGGTTTAGGGTTTAGGGTTTAGCTTTTGGGGGGTTAAAGGTTTCGGGTTGTAGGGTTTAGGGCTTAGGGTTACGGGCCAAGGGTTTTCATTCCGCACTTCCGAGTTCAGGATTCTGGGTTTCATTTGGTCAGCTGCCACGGCTTAGGGTTTAGGGTTTAGGGTTTAGGGTTTAGCGATGTCCTCCCAATCGACAGTTGCTGCTGAGGCTGCGAAAGTCGCGGATTGAAGCTTTGACCTTGTTCTTCGCTGTATGTGTCCTAAACTCTGCACTGTATGCCCTGTTGGCAGGGTTTCTGCCTTCAGGCTGTCAGGGGAGATTGCAGGACGATGCGATCACATTCAAGCCCAATCGCTTTGTCAAGAGGGCTTTGCTACAGGGAGAGGCTTCATTGTCTGCCGGACGACCTCTTTGTGATTCAACCTTCAGGCAAGCTCGCCACCAACAATCTTCTGACGTGTATGCCGCCTGCTTCTGCGATGCCCGAGGGAACTTGTCACGGCTTCCACGGTGCCGAGTGAAAGCTGCACTGTCGCGGCCATATGATCTTTGTTCGATTCTTCAACCAAGGCATCGAACGCGCAAGCAAGCCAGAGCATCGTCTGCCACGGAGTAGTCACCCCGCTGCACGCGGGCCCAACCCAATTGCAAAAACCCAGCAATACCTGAAAAAACGAGCATAGACCCTAAACCTAGACCCTTAAATAGTCTAGAGCTCCGGGGCTTTGATGCTTCGGCTCAAGCTATGACTGGCTCCGGCCCTTCGGACGCAGTGGGAATGCGACGTCCCCGCAGCTCCTGATCCGGATCCATGAACCCTCAAACGAAGCTCTGAAGCCTTTACAGCTCCAAACTAGAAAAGCCCAAACAGCTTAGGGGCCTAGGGCCTAAACTCGGAACCCTAAACCCTAAACCCTAGGCCCTAAACCCTACACCCCAAACCCTCAACCCCAAACCCTAAACCCCAAACCCTAGACCCCAAACCCTAAACCCTAAACCTCAGCCTGGCGTCTCCCAGCCGGAGCCCCTCTTGCAGAAGCTCATATCGGTGCCGGTCTGGCAGGTCAGGTACACCTTTCGAAGGTTTTTTGGGCTTTGCGGTTTTGGGTTGAAGGTTTATGGATGAGAGCCGTTTCGGGTTCACGGTTTAAGGTGGAAGGTTGAAAGGGGCGGCTTGAGGCTTCTATTACACGGGAACTACATTCCAGCAAGGCTGAGCTCAAGGCCCAAAGAAACAAAACGGTTTAGGGTTTAGGGTTTAACCACGGCGCCCGAACTCGAAACGATTCAAGTTGGTCCAAACATCCTCAGCAAGACTAGCCCCACACGACCAAAACTTACTCCATCGTCCTCGAAAGCCTTGCCCGTAAACCCAAAAAACCCCGACTCCCAGGCCACGAAACACGAAACGCCTGGGCCCGGAAGCCCTCGAACCCTGCAACCTCGGAGAACCAACCTTCCCGAAAAGGCGGGTTACAGGCGACTGCGTGGATTTACGCTCAGTGCCTAAACCCTAAACCCTAAACCCTAAACTCGGCCCGGATGAGGGGTTTCGGGCTTCAGGTTTGGGTCGGCCCACCTGAAGAAGCTGAGCATCCGACTCAGTGTTGGGGACTTAATTTAGGGTTTAGGGTTTAGGGTTTACGGCTTAGGGTTTAGGGCAACCTCTATAGCGGGATAGTGCAAAAGCAAGAGAAAAGCTCGTGATGAAGATTGGTGTCTTTGCATACATCCTCAGTTTCGGATAACAAGCCAAGATCCGAAGGCCTCATGTCCCCCGGAAACCGAACAAACCCTAAACCCTAAACCGTTTAGGGTTTAGGGTTTAGGGTTTAGGGTTTGGATGTCGGACTCTCTCGGCCACGCTCTGCTTCTTTAGCCCTCAAGGCTTCGACTTCGAGAAGACCCCCTGGGCCCCCCCCCCAAAGGGCCAGCCGCCTTCCACTGGCTTGTGACGCAACAGAGCCCTTGACCCAGGTAGGAGTAGCCTTGGCCGGGCTTTGCAGCTTTGGGATTTAGGGTTTAAGGCTGTTTCAGGGTCTCAGGTGTGAGGCTGTTGGCCCGTTTCAATTTCTGGAGGCCGTGGCGGGATCAACCCTGGCATTACCGCCACGAGGTCGCAGGCATAAGTTTCACATCCGATGTCTGGGCTTTGGGGGCTTTTACGGCTTTAGGAGTTTAGGGATAAGGGTTGAGGGTGTCGGAACAGGAAGGCTACGATAACTCAAAATCTCATCATGCAGCCTGCTCTAGTTCTGGTGGTGCCTTCGCACACAAACATCGACATGTGGCCCTAACCCCTAAACCCGAAAGACCTATTCCCTGCGGGTCCCGGGCTTCCAAGGTTGGCGACTGCTTCCCTTCCGTGGACTGTAGGGTTTATATGCTGTCTGTGTGATTATTAGCAATAAACAACAGTCAAAATTCGTAGTGTTCATTATCATCATCTTCTTCTTCATCATGTTATGAAAACGGTAACTGCTGTTATTGTAGCCAAAGTTCCAGGTGCTTTGCAGAAGGAGCTGTCCGAGGCTTGCTCGCACTCGGTCCAAGCCCTTGTCGCTGCGGCTCTCTTTTCGTGCAGGTTGTGGGCTTCAGAGTTTGGAGTTAGGGTTTAGGGTTTAGGGTTTAGGGTCTTGAGGGGCTGAAAGTATTGAAGCTCAGCAGCCCCACTCGCCAGGTCGTGAACAAAAAACTTATGGTCAATATCACTGCTACAACAACATCCACAACATACACTGAACAGTCACTCAACCATGTTAGCAAGGAGCACGACCTACGCTTCCCAAGAATCCCAAATGCAAGCCCTACTTCAAATCAAGACCCTTGTCGTACCTCTTGTACAACCGTCATAGAATTCGCTATCAGTAACCTGATATACACACTACCTCATCCGAGAACTCTTGTTAGACGTGGGGGAGGAAGCTTTGCTCGAAACATTCCTCGGGATTTGGTTACAGTGGATGCGGGTTTCTTCAAGGGGTAGGGTTTAGGGCTTAAGGTTTAGGCTTGGGTTTCGCGTCTCGGCTCTGCACATCTAAAGAAGTAAGTTGTTGGACATTGCCAAGATGCGTCGTGCAGCACTGGCCAAGGCCCATGTACTTCCTTGGTCGGGATGCAAGTTGAGGGATTGGGCTCGGTGTTGCAGTGTACATCTCAAGACTCGTCATGCATCGCTCCTCATCCTGGAAAAACCCATGCTGTAGCCTACGCTTTCAACTTTACATCCTCAGACGGGCGCGAATCCTCAGGCCTCCACCCCAGCCCTTACGCTGCCAAGGAACCAGTCGGGCCCCTTGCAAAAGCTCGAGTCAGAGGCTTTCTTGCAGGTGACGTAGGCGTTGTTGTCCTCTCGAGCATGGCTTCGCAACGCTTTGAACGTGGTGTCAACCGATTGAGGGAATCCCACTAAACCTGAAGACTCCTGAAGCCCTAAAGCGCAAAACCCACCTAAACCCTAAACCCCCAAAGCCNNCCTAAACATCCCTAAACCCTAATCCCAGACCCAGACAAGAAAGTACAGCCACGACCGTTCGTCCAAATGCCCACCCGTGGAGTGGGTCTAGGGCTTTAGGGCCTGGGGTTCGGGGTTTGGGGCTTCGGGGTTTCGGGTTCTAGGGCTCGGGTTTAGAGGTTGTGGGTTTGAAACTTGGGGCATCTGGTGCCTCCGGTTCAACTAGGGTCTTTCTGACTTCGGATTTAGTGTCTGCTGGCGACAGGTTCTAGAAAGGCCTTGTATGGTCTACGAGTTCGGGACCCTGTTTTGGCTGTCTCAAGACAAGCTTACGCCCTAAACTCAAGGCGCTATAGCTTAAACCGGTAGTGGCAACAAGAGCCAGGCTGATGCAATAAAATCTGACACGGGGGCCGGCCTAGAGCTCACAGTCCCCGCTATGCCCCAGGCAACCCCACTAAATCAAAAGCCTACAGACAAGACCTCGGCCCTAAGGACAAACGTGCATGTACTTATGTGCATCAAAATGCATCAATATGTATCATTATACATATACATATACATATAC